GTGGTACCTCGAGCCCGAGCTCCTCCGCCCATTCGTGCAGCAGAGCCCTCTCGGACGACGACAACGAAGGCGAAAAATCCTGAAGTTTTAATTTTAATTTTAATTTTAAATAAAATCAAACATCACGTTTGCATTATCTATTTATTTATTTAAAATAGTAAAAAAATAGTAAAAAATAATAAATGGGTACGTGTTGCATGCGGGTGGTGTCGGCAACGAAGGCGTCGAGGTCGGCGCGGACTCGCTGCAGGGCCTCCTGCTCCCGCTTCTCCTTTTCCTCATCGCCTCCGCCGCCCCGCTTCTTGCCCCCGCCGCCACGCTTCTTCTTCTTGGCCTGTGCCAGGGCGAGTACGTTGTCTTCCTTCTCGCGCTGATGCTGCAGCTGCAGGAGCTCCACCTCGAGCTGCGAGCACTGCCGCTTGACCACCACCTTGCGCACCGCATCCTCCGCCACCGTCGCGCTTCCGCCCTCCTTCCCCTGCGGCCTCTTCTGCTCTTCCTCCATCTTCACTACAAAATAAATAACTAAATATCAAAAACTGATCTTCATTTATTCCGACGCCACATCTTCACTGCAAACATTAAAATATTTACAATTAAAATAAATGAATATTTTCTTTTATTTTTCTATTTTCTATCATTGTACACTTGCGCCGATGATGGTGTTGAGGCGGTTTAATGGCGGTTTGTGTGGGCGTCAGGGCAGAAGCGGGTTGAAGAAGGCGAGGAGGAAGGGCGAGCCGGGGATGTGGGCGCCGCCCACCTGCACGTGGAGCTCGAAGACCAGCGTGTCGGTGCCGAACGCGTACTTGTCCATGTGCGGAATGTAGAAGCCCGCCATGAAGCTCTTGCCCTTCTGCTCTGCCGGCACTGGCGCGGCCTGCTGGTCGACCATTAGTACGCCGCCTGTGCCCTTGCTGCCTGCACCCTCGGCCTGGGCTGCGCTCGTGGTGGCGGCGGTGGTGTGGTCTTGATCGTCTCCTTCATCATCATCTCGTCGCTCGACACCGCTTCGCCCGCCCACGCAG